GGGCAGACGGCCCGTGGCTGCGTCCGTACCCGGCACTGGTGGCAGCCGCCGACACAGCGTGACCAAAGGTCGCCCGCACTGCGCCGGCAGCGCGACAGCGCCGCGGATCCGCCGCCATGCCCGGCGTGCCCTCCCGCCGTGCAGAGTCGGTTCCTCCTTTGCCTAACGCCAGGGCAGGAAGTGTGGGGTGAGAGCTGGGGAGCGCGAGCTGCGAGCTGTGCGCTGCTGGGGAGCGGGCTGCTGGCCAGCCCGGGAACGCCAATGGCCCGGCGGGAGCGGGAGCGGGAGCCGGGCTCGGTGGAGCAGAGGGTAGCTGGCATCGCCCGGACATTCACCTTCCTGGAAGCCACCCAGCCCCAAGCGGGGAGCCTCGCCCGCAGCTCCCACCTCTGGCCAGCCACCACGGGGAGCAGGGAGCGTTTCCATCCGCTGCAGAAGATGGACACCAGCAGGAGTGTCAGCCGGGGCAGCCAGGGCCCAGGGAGCTGGGGTAGGACTGCAAGCAGGCTCTCCATCGGCCCTGGCAGTACCCGGAGGAAGGAGCTGAAGGAAATCCTCCTGCAGAGCAATAGCCCTGGCAGCACCATGCGGTTTGCCACCGCTCAGAAGACCTCCAACAGCAGCAGTCTCCTTGCAGGGCCGCCCCAAGAGCAGAAGCCTGAGCAGAGCCCCGAGGTGCTGTCCCTTGCCCTGGATCCCCTGGAGCACGAATGGCTGCTGACGGTGGCCCAGGGCGATGCGGACAACATTGTCAGGCTGCTGGACCTGGATCCCAGCCTGCTGACCAGGAAAGACTTTGTGACGGGCTTCACCGCTCTCCACTGGCTTGCCAAGCATGGCCACCATGAGAGCTTCATCCAGGTCATCTCCCACGCCCAGAAGAAGGGCTATCCCGTCAATGTGAACATCCCCACGGCCAGTGGCGGGCTCACCCCCTTGCACCTGGCTGCCCTGCAGGGACACGAGCTGCTCATCAAAGTGCTGGTGGGAGCTTACGGGGCGGACACCAGTCGCAGGGACCACAACGGGCGCAAGGCTTGGCAGTACCTGAGGGCAGACACCTCCAGGGAGCTGAAGGAGCTGGCGGGGGCCTTGGAGGAGGACTTGGTCCAACTGTGCTCTCACAACACCAACAACAACTGTAAGTCATCCAGTGAGGCCAGGGCAGGGCGGGACTGTGTGGACTCCAGGGCTGAGGGGAAAGCCCAGCACTCCTGGAGCATGTCGACCCTCCGGCACTTTGTCAGACAGGCATTTGCTTTCTTCCAAGAGCGCTGAAGCTCCCCTGGCCCATTCACCTGCAAACCCGTGCTGAGTAGCAGCTGGAAGAGCCTGCAGGGAGCTGGGAACTTGGTGAGGGCCGGCACTCGAAATCCCAGCCACGCAGGGATTAATCCCCTGCCTGGGGGCACCGCAGCCACCCCGGGTCTCGCCTGGTCTTTTGGGGCTGTGCCAGTATGAGTGTGTGGGGGGCAACCACGGCCATCGGGAGCACTGCCTGGGGACAGCCATTCCAAAAAAACGCCTATCCCCAGAGGAGGTTTTGCCCCCTGCCCCTGCTGATGGGGACTCCTTGCCGCAGCCCAGCAGAGCCCCACAGTGGGGGCTCACATGCTGGCCCTGGTGTGGGGAGCTGCTTCTCTGACACTCCACATGCCTGTGGGGGGATGCTGACCCACCACAGGAGGTGGTGTCCCATCCTGGGGGACGGGGGTGGACGTTTGGGCTGCCCGTCCCGGGCTGCCAGCAGAATTTTGCATGTGACTGTAGGTTGGTCATGCAGCAACTCGGTGACTTGGTTCTCCCACCTGTAAAATGAGGCCGTTGGCACTGCCCTGGCTCCCAGCAATGTTGTAAAGTTGGACTGGTCATGACACCTTGGGTGCCTGGACGGAGACACTGGCAGAATATAATTAAATATTTCACTACCATACTCTGAGATGCCAGAGGCCTGGCACTGGCTGAGAAGCAACTATGGCTTCAGAAACAACCCCCCCCAAACACTTTTTTATGTACACTTCTTTGCCGGCAGGGAGAGCGGGTACAGACAAGCAGACCGTGCCACCGAGCTGCAAACGCTTTCCAGCTCCCTGTGAGATCCCCGGATCTCTGCCACATGCGCGTCCTCTGGGTTGCTGTTTGTTTATGACAGATAAAGCTGTTTCTCAATAAATTAAGAGCTGGAGTGCCCAGTTTGCCAAAGGAGGCCAGGCCCAGAGAAATCTTTCAAAGTGCAAGACAAGTCCCCCTGGCAGCCCTTCCTTGGGGACCCCCGTCCAGGGGAGCCTGAGACACTCAGGCCCACTGGGAATGGGGGCCCAAGTGGAGGAGGCAGGAGTGACACCCAGTGGGGTGGCATGTGGTAGCTCCCACGGGGACTGGGGTCCAGGAGCAGCTCTGGAAAGATGATTCATTGCTCAAAACCATGGAAAAGGTATGAAGGCTGTGAGATTATCTTTGTTGCTTCTGAGGTCATGCTCAAAAATGAAACTCTTGAGAAACATCCCTACAGCAGCATAACCCCGCATGTATGTACCGGTAACTGCATTAAAAGAGCAAAGCCTCTGCTCGCCTGTTTGTGTTTTGTTCACCAAATGGAGCTCTGCCCAGCTGATTTCAACTTGCTTTTCACATTCTCGAAGGCCAGGGCTGCTTCAAAATATCTTCAGAAAAACAACTGCCCCTTCCTCTTTTTCATCAGTGTGAGACCATTTCTAACCCCTTGAATAGCAGTCCCATTTGGGAAGTGACTCTCAGACAGCAACTGGGGAGTTTCTGTTCCCCATTGTAAAGCAGCAACCCTTGCGGAGACACCTCACTTCGGAGGCGAGTCGCGGTTTCTTTCCAGCTGCCTTTCCGGGGGTCTGCAGAGGTGACCGAGGGACTCGAGATGATCTCTGGCTTAGCTGCATGGGTGAATTTGCACCTTGAGGCAGAAAGATACACGGGTAACTCCCTCGGGGGAACTTGAGCCTGAGGGTTTCACAGACCCTGAGCAAACCCCGTTTACATTCAGATTGTGCTCTGAAATGCTGCTCAGACACTGGAATAACCCAGCCTGCAGTGGACGATACATGGAAGAACAGCCTCCAGGTGAGCGGATAGTGATCCAGTGACTGGATAGTGTCCAGTCCAGGTGGACATATAGATGTGTCCGGACATCTTTTTAATCACTGAGGTCAGCAGCGGAGATACACAAAACACACTGGGAATGGATTTAATGCCTGATCTACGCTGGTTTTGTAATGCTTTAACTCTAATAGATTAAAGAATATGGCAATATAGCTCCTTCCAGAACTTCTCCGGTCACATCCATGCCACGGGACAGCAGGCTGGCTTCTAACGGGTCTGGTCACACCAGCACAAACTCCATGAAAAACACTAATGTCAAAACACCCACGATCGTTAGTTCTGGTAACCAAAGTGCTGTTGATAAGACAGGTGGGTGCATGTCTGACAAAGTATTTTTTGATCTGTTCATCCTCCATCACCCTTTCGCAGCAGCGTGCTGTCGGGGAGAGGGCGTGGACCGCTCTTACATCCTCCTCTGAGTAAGGCACAGAGTAAACAGTGGAATTAGTGAGAATTTCCTTGAAGGAGCTGTTTCCTTGGCATTTGTACCTGCAGCTTAGTCATGCCCCACCAGGAAACCTGGACTTTAATGCTCCATTTGAAAGCCATTTGAAAGTAAAATTTAACTGGCAAATGCTACGCTTAAATATGACTAAATGATTTTTAGCACTTGCCTCCCCTTGACAGCTAACCAAAACCTCCTAAAGACAACTTTTTCCCCCATCTTTTGGTTGTGGGTTTGAAGCTGTATTCTGCTCTGAGGCAAATTAGGCAGGCACTTCAGAAGGAGCAAGACCAGAGCCCTGCTGCTCTGGATGGTGTTAAAACATACTCATCAACGCCACCCCCTGCCTTGCCTGCCCTGCAAGGGTTCCTCTCCACACAGCAAAAAAAAGGAACTTCTTCAAATCGCAGTACCCTTTCTGCTGCTGTACGTTGTGTTTGCCCCAGACACCACACCACTTCCAGTGAGCCACCCCTCTGTCTCGCGTGGTTTATTTTCATACCTACAGAGGGGCAGTGGGTTTGGAAATAGACACATTTAAAAAATATTCCTCAAGTATACAATCAGCTCTAACTTTGCTCCTCACTCAGAAAACAAAAGCATATCCACCAAAATTAATGGACTAGAATATCCAAATTATTTAGATTTTTTCTTTAAAGCTTCTGTTGATGTCTCAGTTATCGTGTGTTAGCCCAGTTCTGCAGAGATCCCTGATCCCCCCCCCAACTCTCACAGGCAAGGATAGGGCAAAGAGAGCTGCCACAGGAACAACAGAAATCATTGAAACCCAGAGGTATTTGTGTTAAGGTTCTGCAGAAGATTGATTTTAACCCAATTTTAATTTGTACTAAATTTACTTCGTGCTATCCCTTAATGTCCAATTTGAAAAGCAGATTCAGTCAAATGGGGAAAAATAATCTGAGGGGTTATTTTCCAAAGCAGCTTCTTGGTAGAAGCTGGTTCCATCTAATAAAAATAGCACAGTAATGATAGTAATAGGGAGACTACCTAATAAATAGTAATAAATAGTTCGATCTATTGCTCAGGAAAGCTTTCCCACAAATGCCATGGAGAAAACGGTCTCTTTCCATTCTCAAGTCCATAAAATTACTTTTTTCCTCCTCAGCCAGGTCCTCATAGACACAATTAAAGAGGAACTCTGCGAGTAGCTTTGCCTGCCAGCAGTGGCGATGGGTAGAGGCAGGGGGTGGTTCGCAGGGCTCCAAGGCTGATCTTCGATCCTCAGCAGTGCTGTTATTTCTTAAACGCTTGCTTCAAAGAGAAGAGCACAGAAGAGATTTAAGAAACATTGGGGTAAAAGTGTTTGCAGCATGTGGGCCTCTGTTGAAACTTCTCTGGCAATGCTGTTTGCTGCTTTCCTGTTGCAGTGACTTACTGCTTCCCCCTGATAACGAAGTAGAAACCAGGCTCTTACCAGACAGGAAAAGCAGCTGGAAGATACCTCTGAAGTGTCCTGAAGCTGGTAAAAATCCCAGCCTTGCTCTCCTGTGCTCACAGAAACCTCCAGCACACCTTAGGAGGGAGAGTCTGTCATGAGCTCTGAGCGAGGTGTGTATTTATTATGCATTTATGTGTGCTTGGCATATGCTGCTGCCCAGCATTATTTGCTACGAATTGTAATGCGAAGGAGATGTATCTATTTACCTTCAACGTGAAAAGCAGCAACACAGAAGGTGTGGCAGCGTGAAGCTTCCTCAGGAAGCTGCCACCCAGGAACTGAGCCACCACGGCAGGCTGAACCCAGAAAACAGCACCAGAGCACTTCGCAGCCCTCAGCGTCAGGATGGGCTTTGCCGCAGCCACATCTGAGAACAGGCTCGCACCTTCAGTTATTTCCCGCTGACCAGAGCACCAATCCCAGGTCTGCACTGCAGAAGGAGCAGCAGCCACGCCGGGCTTAGTGCTGAGCCACAGCCTCCTCCTCCAGTTCCCTGCGGTAAATAGGTGATGTTTCACAGACCCCAGCGGAGAATGTCGGCATCGGGGAGCTGGAGTGCCGACTACTCTGAGCGGTTCAATCCCTTCTTTCCTCTCTCCCCTTTTTTAAATAGCTAACTCTTCCTTTGAGCAACATCTTGAGTTACTACCCTTCTGCTGAGAATGTTTTAAATTAACCCGCACCTGTGGCTGGCATCAAGACCAACTCGATCAAGCCAACACAGAGCTCCACACAAAACTCAGGTTATTACATATTCTAGGGAACATGCAGACATTATGTACTACAGTCTGTAGGAGTATCGCATTTTGCAGGAGACAAATCCATCCACTGCCCTTGCTGCAGTCTTCCCTTTCCTCCTCCTTTCCTACCTCCTAAGTGAAACTTTCTTTCATCCGATTATTCCACTGCACCCACTCCCCAGCCAGGATCTTAACCCCAGGCTCCAAGGGCTGCCCTGCCCCACGTCCTACCTGAGAGCAGCTCCCAGTGCTGCGGGCGCAGGGGCCAGACCCACACGGGGTAAGAAGCTGCCATTCTTGGCTGACCGCAAGCGTGAGGCTCCCGAGGAGCCACCTACAGCTAACACAGGCTGGTGTTCAGGGGCAGCCTTGGCAGTACACTGCTCAGGCGCAGGACAGGTAGTCTTGGTATTCAAGTATCACTGATTATTCTCAGCTCCACATTCTCGCTCCCTGGGCAAGTATTTTTACAGTACTTCTGGGCATGTAACATTTCAGCATT